TGCTTGGATGTGAGGCCTGGCAGCCAATGGGAAAAGCTGCTGGAAAGGGGGCAGGCAACCTGCACCCATCTATAGCCTCTCCCTTCTTCCCAACCTATGATTTCTGCATTTGTTTTATCTTGTGTCCCTGACAACTAGACGTGTGCAGAGTAGGTGCTTAATAAATAAGGAGTGGAATGGTGATCAGGAATCCTAGATTTAGAGCCTACTCCTAGCTTTTACAGATGAAGAAACTGAGACCTAGGGAAGATAAATGACTTGGCCAAGGATACACAGTGGCAAGTGGCAGGGGCTGGATTTGAACCCAGAACCTTTGACTCTGGATTTGGAATCAAGTGAATCTCCACCCACAGGATTACTTCATTTCAGATGAGATAATTTACTCAAAGTGCTTTGCAAATCTAGACTTAAAGTGCTTTGTCAATGTTTGTTATTATTCTTGTTTTGGCCAGTGGAATAAAAGCTGCCCTCCATCAATTCCTCTTCTGCTCTTCCCCCAAAATAAAAAGGATAGGATGGGCACGTTCTTTTTTAAAAATCATTTTATTTTTATTTTCAGTTCCAAATTCTCTCCCTCCCTCCACCCTCCCCCAGCCATCGAGAAGGCAGGATGGGTATGTTCTAACAGCAAGCTGAGTTTCCTGTTCTTGGTTACCAAGGCAACATCAAGGGCTTGGAGCCTGCACTTTCGTTTATGTTAAATCCTACTTTTCTGTGCTTCGTTTATCCGTTCTTGTCAAGCTCCTACTGTGTGCTGCACACTGGTGGGCTGATTCCCAGGCTTCCCGATTTTATACAAATCCTGTTACAGCATTTTTTTTTTTTAACTAAAAGAAGTCAACACCCATAAAGCCTGGGATGTCATGAACCGTTTCGGGCTCTGGTTTCCTTTGCTCCCCAGCGTCCCAGAAAGTGGGTTTAACAAAGTCCCAGCGGCTCCCGTGCATCCCTCAGGCTTGTGAAGGATTTTCCCCTTTGGTTTCAGGCTCTTTAGAGATGGGTTGATGCTGTGAAATTGGACAGACTGCTGATCCCGGGGCTAAGGGTGGAGAATTCTGTATTAGAGGAAGAAATCACGTAGGCGTGTGTGGATGCTACATCTTGACTGGGGGTGGCGGTGGCAGAGGGGGTGGGGAGTGCCCTCCCTGGTGTGTCTTGGTAGCTGGCTTTGTTTCTAGAGTGCTTGTTAACTGAGGAAGGATGGCACAGAGGCCTCTGACAGTGATGCTCCTCACTCCTAGGCTGGCTGCCCTTGAATGTAGGACATCACCTTTATGATGCTGGGTGGGCATGTCACCCGTGTCACCTCCCTGGGCCTCAGTTTCCTCACCTATAAGATGAGAGGGCCCCAGGGTTTGTTCCGGGCTAGATTGAGATCAGTTCGCTCCCCTCTTGGGAGCCCCGGGGCTCATTCACGGTTCCTTTGACCTCCTTGCACCACCTGCTTTTCCACCTGGATTCCTCTCCAGGTAGGCCCATTACCCAATAAGGTGTTGGTTTCCAAAACTCTGCACCTGTTCTGCTGCCCAGGAAACCTACACACAGTGTTTTTTTCTGTTAAAATAACACATAACAAAGCAATAAGGAAGTTATACACGTTTGAAAAGCCCTGCTTATCCCGGCCTTGCATGCCATGTGAGCCGAGACCTCTCCCTACCAGCCCCACCCTGCCCTTATCTCAGGACGGTGCCGACTGATTTCTGTCTCTCGTCCTTCTCCGGACCCCAGAGTGAGACTTCGGCAAACCAAGACCCAAGCAGAGGGCGGGGAAGCCCTTGGCCTGGATTCGGATCATTCTCCTCCTTCCCTGGCTCCACCAGTCGTGGATGACCCTGGATGCCCTGGGCTCTGGCCCTCCTGAGCTGCAGTTACAATGCTCGTTCTTCCTGGTCATCGGCCAGTTGTGGGATGGGCCAGACCCGGGCACAAGCCGAAGCGGGCATTCAGGCCAGGCCGCTGGGGAAGCTTGGGATGGAAAAGGCTCTAGAGTCTAGATAGGAGAACGCCCAGTCTGGCGAGTGGGGGCTCTGGCTAATTCCCAGGCCTACAGTCCAGGAGGAACAAAGCAGGGCGTGAGGGGCCAGGTGTGACGTGCCTATGGAACTGCTGGATATAGAGTCAGGGACCTGGGTTGGAATCTCAACTTTGCTTTGTGCCAACTGGCTGTGATCTTAGGAAAGTCACTTCAAGTCCCTGGGCCTCCGTTTCCTCAAATGAGGAAATGTGCTATACATGGCACATAGTAGGGCTGTATGAATATTGGTGATGGTGTTGACAATGATGAAGAAGATGAAGGAATTCTGTCAAATGAGAAGGTTGAACTAGATGACCTCTAAGGTCCTGTCCAGTCTGTGAGCCAAGGATCCGTGAGATGCTGGTCAAGTCACTAAACTGTTTTCTGCCTCAGTTTCCTCATCTGTCAAATGAAAGAGCTCAAAGGAGCTGGTCTCTGAGGCTTCTTAAAATCCTAAATCTAGGTTCCTATGATGCTACCTCACCCCCACCCCAGGAAATGGCACCCCAAGAAGAGACGCTCTTCTTTAGACTGAAGGCCCGGGTGGGGAGGCTTGGTTACCAGGCTGAAAGTGCTCAGTTAATCACCTGAAATGGGATAAAAGGTTAGAGCCTGCTGGGAAGAGCTTAATGACTAATGCATTAAATTGTTATTTAGCCTTTCTGTTGTGCATTGGGGTCTGCATTGCTGGGCCCTCCTGGAGGGCACTTCACTGGCTGATTGTACTGGTGGTTACCAGTCTGGGAGGGGGAGCCCCCAGAGAGCAGGGACTGATTCCTCTGTGCACTTTTGTGTCTCCAACCCAGCACACAGTAGGAGCTTTAGTTGTGGCGCTTTTATGTAACTATCAACTGATGACATCAATGGGCAGTGAGTAAACTCCCCAACCAGCTTAGTCTAGTATTGTCCTATTGAAGCATAAATAGGGAATTGAGGTTTGGAGACTGTGTGAAAATCACCCAGTTAGAGACCATGGCCTGGGGCCCCTCCAGGGTAAGAACAAGTCTGAGGCCTGAAGGAGATCCTTATTGTCCAGGAGTGGAAAAGAGAACCCCCAAAACTGGAGAATGAAGAAATGCAAAGCTGGGGGTTAGCGCTATACATGGCACATAGTAGGGCTGTATGAATATTGGTGATGGTGTTGACAATGATGAAGAAGATGAAGGAATGCAAAGCTAGGGTTTAGCACTGTGCCTGGCACA